CTCCTTCCTTACATTACTGTGTAAGGGTCGGCCTTTGGCAGCATTCCATCCAGCAGGGGCCCTTCTCGAGCATTCTAAGTGAGCTGGGTGCTTCCCAGGAACATACTGGTTGTGCTGTTTCAAAGGTCTATTCTGTGCTTTACGGTCCTGGTCATCACATACAATTACAGCAGGTTTCTACATATTCCTTAGGTGCCACAGTTGTCCACTGCAAACCACCAGTGTCCGGAACAGCCTGTGCTGGGGTTCAGCTTAGAAGCAGTGGTGGTGTGATAGAGAACTGCATTAGAGCTAAAAAAAAAACAAAACAAAAAACCCAAAACCCTAGGTGTGGCGATGTATGTCTGTAATCTCACCTACTCCGGAGGCTGAGGCAGGAGGAATGCAAGTCCCAGGCCAGCCTGGTAACTTAGTAAGACCACGCCTCATAACAAAAATAAAAGTGGCTAGGGTTGTGAATCAGTGTCCCCCAGGCTCAATCCTCAGTGCTGGGTGAAAAATCCTGGAACTCAGGCTTCCCCTCCCCACCTTACTCCTGTCTCCTTCCCCCTTCTCTATATTCCCAATGCTAGCACTGAAAATCTTAGCTAAATTCTTTAATCATCTCAAACAACCTTTACTCCAGGAAGTTCCCCTCCACTTCCCAAATGAAGGAGATTCTCCTTCTGAGCTCTCTTAGACTTTTTTTTCTGGAGTGCCTATATTATTTCTCCTATATTTCTTCTCATCAGACATAGTGCCTTTTACAAAGTAAGTTTTAGTAAAAGTTTAAAGAATTGAATTTTATCCTAAATACAACATGATGGACGTGCAAACTCTTCCCTGCGTCACCTTTCACCTTCAGATGGATTCCCAGATGACTTTTTCTTTTTCACTTTATAAGGATGCTTTTAAATAAAAAGGTTGGGCAGGTGTGCAATACAGTCTGGAATTTTAGGGCCAATTCAATGAACTTTTAAGGAAGGGATAACTTTAGCCTAATTGTTTTATGTACAGAATACTGGCATCCAGCCTGCTGCTTTTATTTTAGCTCATGACTAGGACCCATCCTTCACCTCAAAACAGCCTTCTTCACTCCAACTCACAACTGCCAGGCTCCAACATTATCTCAACTCTGGAAAAGGCCAAGTCCTCAGAATCCTTACCACTGATGAATGGGGAGGCTGATTAAAGCCACAGAAGAAGAATGGGAAAAGCTACTGGACAGATGCCTCCTGCAAATGCCTGTCCCTCTCAATGTCAACACGAATTCCTACGTTAACAAATACTTATGAGGTCATGTGAAGTGTCAGGCCACAGGCGAGGCTCTTAGCTCTGCAGCTCAGAGACAGGACCACATCAAAGCCACCATCTAAAGCTGCACTGCCCTTTTAGCTCCTGCATTCCACAGGTATGCACAGGGATGTGGGATGACCAAAGGCCTGGGGATGGTTGCCAGACAGAATGCGAGGCACGCCAGCGCCCTCAAGGAACATGCAACCTAGCTGGAACAGTAATGGTGTAAGAAAGTATCTAAGTTCTAAAGAATGAAGCAGAGAGAGGGCAGAAGAAGAAACTGGTGAGAGTAACATGATCAGAGCTTGAACCCAAAGAATGTGGTTATGTCAGAGAAAAAAGGAAAAGGCACCAGAAAAGCAGGCAAGAACAAAAGTGTGTAAGCACTTTTACACAAAAGTGTGAAAATGAGCAGGAGGGCAGTGAACTCCAGCCAGGAGACACAGGAGGTTCATATTGAAAAGAAGTAGGAAATGAAGTTGGTAACTCAAATTTGGGCAGGACTGAAAACCAGGCCAGGAGGGTTGTCTGTGCCAAGGGTTAGCAGGGTGGACAGAGCCATGGGAACTAGTGGACTTCAGGTGCTCTTGGATGTTACTGTAATCTACCAAATAGCACAGCTTAACCTGCCTACTTTAAACATGCTCAGAGCATTAGCCTGCTACAGCCAGGCAAAACCAGCTGACACAAAGCTGATTTTACAACAAAGTACTGCATCACTCATGTAATGCCCTGAATACTTAAATGGAAAAACACAGCCAGCTTAGGACACTGTAAAGTATGTTGTTTGCCCTCCTGAGCTTGTGGCTAACTGGGAGCTGTGGCTGCAGCCTCCCAGCCTCACAAAAGAGTATCATCCTGCTCACAGAAATATCAAAACTCAAAATTACAAGTATGGTTTCTACTGAATGCACATTGCTTTCCCAGCACAGACAAGTCAAAAAGAGTCCTTAAGTGGAAGCACCCTAAGATGGAAAGAACACCAGCTTTAAAACCAGATAAGTATGAATGCAACATTCATTCTCTTGAGACATCCTTGGAGAAGCACTGCAAGGAGAAGCATTTCAGAGAGGCTGATATGGCAGAGGTGACAAATGGAAGGAACTCAGTGACAGAGAGATGAGGACTGGAGACCTGTGACCAGCAGCAGCAAGGGGGAGTAATGAAAGAAAAGGGGTGTGGAAGTGGGCTTGGGAAACTGCTACAGAGGGAGAGTTAATGGGCCTTGATACAGCTTTCCAGAGAGGAAGAAGAGTCAGGAGTGCTTCCTAAGTCTCCAGTCTGGCTGATGAAGAGGATTCTGAAAGTCTTTTCATCATCGAAGTAACATGTTACCAGGGAATGCGAAGGTTGTCAAAGAATATGACAAGTTTATTATCAGGTCTGTAGCCTTTAGTTTGACAGGAAATCATCATCCGCCATGGAAAGACCAATATGCAAGTGAGTAAGTGTGACTAGAGTCTTGGCCAGTACTAGCGTTAAAGAGCATACGATGGGAGGACAGATCATAGGAATCTTTCAAGAAAAGCTCAAATAACTCCCCAAATTACCTATTCCATTGTTTCAAAAATATTTTAACACATATGCTAACTTGTTTCATTTATACTAAGTTTTTCTTAGTTCACTGAAAAGGAAGTTTTGTGCTATTATCTGTTTCTTCTTTGTAAGAGGAATCTTTTTTGTTTTGTACTCTGAGTAGCTACTCTGAAGATGATACACAGTGTATTAACTATGCTACCCTGTTATTATTTGGCTATGAAATTTTGGGTTTTTTTTATTAAATAAAATTTTAAAAGACTTTTAATGGAAAATATACTATACATATATTAGAGAGATATCTTATATAACATCATATATATATATATATATATATATATATATATATATATGAAAGCAAGATATTTCACAGACTTTTTCTTAGCTTTGGTACTTAATGGGATGCTTATCCATTAATGTAACACCGAACGGATAAATTTCTGTAGAATTTAAACATATGGCTTATTTATATAACAAGCATCACAACTCCAAATTAGCCATATTGATGTGTCGAGGAAATAACACCTTCATAGCAGACTGCCTCATAAAGGGAAAAAGAAATGGTTTTTCTTCTATGATTACGTTTACTGGGCTTTTAATTGTTTGTATAATGAAAATCCTATTTTTACTGTGTGATTACACTCGAAGGTAGAACGCTGATGGAATGAACTGATTGGGTGAATTATGCAAAGCCATTCAGAGATCAATACACAGACCCAAATCCCTTAAATCTGCCCATCTATCTGCCCTTATGTCCTGTCGTGTTTATGAAAGCTACTGTGCTGTCTGGAAATCATAACCACCATCACATTCAATTTTAACAGCCAAGTAACAGTACTAGCTCTACAGGCGGTGGCTAGGAAGGCAGAATCACACAACAGCGACTGAGCAGGTCCTGTCGGCGGTGCGGAAGACACACACCACTCTCACGCGGCAAGACAGATGGGCCAGCCTGGGTCTCATCAGGGGCGACTTCTACTTCTTCCATGGTAACAAAACTGTAGCCAAGAGTTCTTAAAGTGGCTCACTTCATAACACGCTGACTAAAACGGCACACAGGTGGCAGAATGAAGATCACCTGCGCACCTCCAAAACACAATCGTACTCGCTGTTACTGGGGTGCAATTTTCTGACTGTGGACTCAAGAGACCGATCAACATCAGGACGGGAAGGCAGGCATTCCCAAGGCTGAACTGCTGGTGGAAAGCTCCCCGTTTCCGTAGCAAAGGCGCCATGGCACGGCCTAAGTGTGCTGTGACCACTTGCTGTTAAGTGGAGCCGTTCACAAGCCCCGGAAGTGGGTGTGAGCAGAGACACTAACAGCCGAGGACCCTCCTCCAGGCTCCCTAGAACAGGATGGGAACAGAGTGCTGGTCTTTTTCCCATCTCAATGAGCACACAAAACTGAGCTGATTCTTAGGAAATCATTTAATATTTCCAAAGACTGAAGAAAGAAAATTGCCAAAGAACACGCCCCTTTCCCAGATGTTCAGTTTCCACAAACATAGTAAATCCGCTCTGTATTCAGGCATCGTATTTCTGTGCAAATTATCTTCTGGGGCTGGTGTGTGCGCGTGGGTGAGTGTGCAAGGCCTCACAGGCAGGGAATCCGGCACGGTCTGTTCTGCTGGTCCGCACTGGGCTCTAACCCAGCTTGAGTTTATTCCAGAGCTCTAATCAGGGAGCGCGGCGGCGTGCGCCCATCCACTCGGAAAGCCAGCCCGAAGTTGAGGAGCCCCCCGCGCGGCCGGCCGGCCCCCACAGCGTTTCTGGCGCTCTGCGGCTCACTATCCCGGGCAACTTTCGGGGAGCGTGCGGATCGCTGGCTGGGCCCTGCTACCTCTCCCGTGCCCGGCCCCGGCTCCGGCCCCCGGTCCCCGGCCCCGCAGCGGCTCCTCCCTCCCGGGAACCGGCTCCGTGCGGGCGGCGGCTCGCGGCCCCGCGCCTGGATGTCGCCTGGATGTCAGGACCGGCGCCGGGCTCTGGCCGGGTCTGCACTGGCAAGGAGCGGCAGCAGGCTCCGGCCCGCGTCCTCCGCCCGCGGCCACACCCGAGACGACGAAGGGAACCGAGCTGGGCCGCCCCCGCCCCATCCCTGTCCCCGCCGCCGCGCAGGCCCCGCCGCCTGGTCCCGGCCCTCCCAGCCCCGCGGCCCCGCGGCCCCGCGGCCCCGGTCCGGGCCCGCTCACCTCGGCCCGTAGGATCGGCCCTCGCCCAGCGGTGCTCTCCGGCGCGCTCCGCTCCGCTCCTCGGCGCCGGCCCCTCCTCCGCCCCCACCTCCTCCTCGGCGCCGGCCCCTCCTCCCGGCCGCGGGCGGCGCTGTCCGGTCCCCGCGCTGCCTGCACACTCGCACTCGCGCTCCCTCACGCGCTCCCTCACGCGCTCCCTCACACCCGCCGGGCACGCGCCCCGCCGCGTCCACACGGACGCCCGGGCCGGCCTCGCGGGGGCGCCCCCACGCGGAGCAGCCGGGCCCCGCAGCCCCGCGTGCCGTCGGTTGGAGGCCGCGCCGCTGCCTCACGGACGACGGAAACTGAGGCTGAACACCGCGGGGAGCGGCCAGGAGCCCGGGCCGGGGAAACGGGTGGCTGGGAACCGGATGCCGGCTCAGGCCCGCCCAGAACGAAATCGAGTCCGACGGGAGGAGGAAGCCCCGCTCCGCAGGCCCCAGCCGCCCGTGCCCTGCTGCCGCCACCGCGCAGTTCCGGGGCCGCCCCGCCTCTCGCTGTCCTTCCGCAGGGCCAGCACCAGGCTCGGGAAGGCTGGGGAGCCCGGCCGACCTCTGACTGGCGGCGCCCAGCGTGACGGCGCCCTGCTGTGGCCCGGGCCAGGGCGAGGGGTCGGGCCGCGGCTCCCTTGGGGGGCCTGGTGCGCCAGGGAAGAGATGAGCGAGCGAGCGAGCAGCTCGCTGGGATCCAGGCAGCTCCTTCAGCTGTTAGCCAGTTAACCAAGCCCAGAGGAAGACGCCAGGCGGATGAAAGTTTCAGACAGCAAGTTTCAAATCGAGCCTAAATCTTTGCTCTTCGAGTTAATTCCGGAAAAACAAAACGTTCAGTTTCTGAAAAAGACCTTAAAATGCTTATTGAAATGTAAAGAAAAGCTTCCTGCACCTCAAGAACTAACAGAATGGTATTTTGATGATGCAAACGTAAATGATTTAAAAAACATGGAATACTTTCGTATTGTTACATGACGTATAAAAATATGAAGAATAGAACATTAAAAGACATAAAGTGACATTTTCACCATATATTGAAAAGTTTATTTGAAAAACACTTATTTGAGATTAGACTGGAGGATGTCTAGTGTGTGCTCATGTGCCTGTTGTTCAAAATGCTTCTCTATGATTAGAGGGTCTCTTGCTGCTATTTTCTAAACTAAATGGAAAGGGAAAATCTCTTCTCTGAAACAAACAAACGAGAACCTAAGAGCACAGGTCTTCTCTGAGGGGTGAACAAGCAGGTCAGTTTGTTTTCTGACATTGACACGTAGGTAACTTAAACCTGTGCCTGCTGCTTTATTCCTGTGCCACCCACCCACCCAGTGTGCACACTGTGAGTATGATGTCCATCTCGCCCACTGTTACACTGCTGATTTCAGCACCAGGCCCATCAGCCCCGCTTCATGGCCTGGATCTGCAGGATTCCTCATGCTGCAGGCATGGCCACTTGGAGCAGGGCCCATGCTCATGAAGGAGCTTGGAGGCCAGAGCCTGCTCTGGATGTGGTCGGTTGTGCTGTGTTGGAATTTGTGCATCTGCTTGAGTGGTGCGGCCAGAGTGGCTCACTGGAGTCGCTAGGCTCCAGGACGCTCTGTGACGCTCGGCCCTGAAAGAGAGGGCCCTGGACTTTGACGGGTGTCGTCCCTGGGTGGGGTCCTGGTCATCTCCCCGCGGGGAGGGACACATGTGTGGCGAGTGTGTGCTGGCTGCAGGGGTGCTCCCAGATGCCCCAGCCCTGCTTCCTGGATGACACGTCCCCACCCAGCTGGGCAGCCAGGGAGCAGTGGATGGAAGTGATGAAGAGCACTCTGGCCAGAAGCAAGGGCCTTGTCCACGTGTCCCTGTGCTCTCTTTTCCTTCTGGGCCTGAGACAGCAGATGCATGGCGACCGCTGCCGTCAGCTTGCATGAGGATGACACTGAGCAGTGCCACCCTGCTGTCTTTGTTGGACGTGCAGTATGAGCAAGAAATAAAACTTTTTCGAGGCCACACGGATTGGGGGTTGCTTGTTTCTGTAGCACAATCCAGCCTTTTATGACTAAAAATAGGCAGGAAGAAAGAGATGAGTAACTGTAGGATGCCCTGTGGCAGAGAAAGGCCAGCCATTCCTTCTCCTCACGGCCACCTACTCAGTCATGGTCCCTAGCTGTCCACGCTGCAAGGTGAGGCCACGTGGCTGTGTTCTGACCTGTGGAAGGTTGGTGGACAGTCTGTGGTGCCCGTGCTGGCCCCCCAGAGCTAAACTCCTGCAGGATACCTCCCCATACGGAAACTAAGGGCCCGAGGCTTCAGAGCAGGCATCTGCAAATCTTCCCTATGAAGGCCAGGCAGCAAATAGTTCAGGCTTTGTGCATCAAACAGCCTCTATCACAAGTCCTCAGCGCTACTGTTATGGGAAAGCTGCCACAGACACTGTAAACAAACGTGCCTGGCTGTGTTCCAATAATGCTTGATTTACAAGAAACCAGCAGTGGGCTGGATGTGGCTGTGAGCGGCATCTGCACACCCCCACCTAGAGCTGGGGAGCAAGAGGCTAGAGCCGGGGCTCTGAAGCACCCTAAGGTGCACTTACTGAACACTCACCATGGTCATTACCCAAGTAAACGGTATCGCTAATACACAAACTTCCTCCACATTCCAGGGCAGAGTCCAGATGGACTAATGCTCTGGACATTAGAAAAGAACTGTGAGTGACTAAACATATGACTGTTTTATAAGATCTTTATAGCACTGATTAGAAATATCATGACAAAAATCTCAGAATCTATGATGGAAAAGATAAAACAGACATGATGACCGAGACTTTAACATTTGTGTATAGTGAAAGGTCTTAACATTAGGCTAAGGGAGAAATATACACAACATTTATTCACAACAGGAAAGTTAATGTGTATACTGTGTCTAGAAATCAATATGAAAAGAGGAGAGTAGAATAAGAAAATGGAACACGCAGAGGCAACTCTCTAAGTGAGGAACATGTGCTAATAAGTACATGAAAACCTACTCAACTCTACCAATGATCTGAGCATAATTAAAAACAAGATAGCTTTTGTTTTTTTGGTACTGGGGATTGAACTCAGGACGTTGCGCTTTTGAGGCCAGCGGCCAAACTGCTGAGCTAAATCCCCAGCCTCAAGATAACATTTTTACTTATCAGTTGAGCAAAAAAATTAATAGCAAGTGTTTGTGAGTGTGTGTATGAAATAGGAACTTTTATACTGAAGTGTGAATTAAACATTTTGAAAAGCAATTTCAGTACTTATAAATATTAAAAATGCATATAGCCTTTGACAACACATTTCCACTACAAAATACCTCTTCTACAGACATACTAAGTATGCAAAAATGTATTTGTGTAGATGCCTATTGTACTATTATTTGTAAGAGCCAAAAAATCTGGGCCACGTCTCAATATTTATGTACAGAAGAATGGCTAAGGAAATTGGGTCCATCTACACTGGAACAGAAATCCCTGTCTAGAGACGAGGGGATAGGTATGTGTCGACGTGGAAGGGGCCAGTGGTGGGTTTCCCAGCGGTAAGAGGAAGGAAGGGCAGAAATCTACACACCTGCACTTCTCCCTTGACATGCCATTTTTATAATCACAATGTTGTTTAGGAAGCAAAGGCAGAAGGTGAGAGAGACTGAAAGGAAAACCCCTGTGGAGACTGGCCATGCTAGGGCTGGGGCTGGTGGACAGGACAGAGACGTGTTGACACAAACCCAAGCCGTGACTCATGCTCTCAGTGTCCTGGTGAGGCGCACAGAGTTCCACCCAGAGCCAGTGTTCTGCTTGGAAAATTTCCAGAAAAGATGAAGACTTGGGTGAGAAGAGATAGCATAACCTCACTGGCCCCAAGGCAAAACAGTGGAAACAGAAACCAAAGGATGTACCTTGGCTGAACTGGATAGGTTATCTTTTTGCTGAACTGGATAGGTTATCTTTTTGCTGCTCCAGACTTCTGTGAGTTAATAACCTTCTGTTCTCTTTGAGTTGTTCCGGTAGTGAACACATACCTGGTAGAGGGCTGAGTTTGGTTTGAAAGGTCGTGTGTGCGTCACCATGCACTGGAGGAATATGAATGTAGGTGCAGTCTAGAGTGGTCGTGCCAACACAGGAGAAGTGGACCAGGGTGAATTACAGGTGAATGTGCTGCCACTCATTCACTTAGGATGTGTGTGTTTGTTCTCCGATATATATTTAGCATTTCCTGTTCACCAAGATCAGCTTTTGTCACAAATCTCATTACCAGGGAGAAAGAATATCTTCTCTTTTGTTTATTAACTATTTGTTGTAAGTAATGCCATGCCAGTCTGCTACATAAAGCAGTTTTTCTATGAGGAATGGCCAGACCCAGGAGAAGTGAGTGAATGAATTATTAACAATGAAGCCATACAGGCTTTTTGAACAACATCATTCTACACTGCCATCTGCCTTGTTGACCCCACACTAAGTGTAAGTGAGTTGAGGGTCACCCCTGTGGGAAAAAATGGTGAAAAATTGGCACTGTATAAAGTCCTACTAAAATATATCATGGTATATTGTGGGCAGCAGCTTTTAAATAGGAAGGCAGATGAGGAAGTCCAAAACAGGCAGAAAGGATGGTGTGATAGTTAACTGTTGAGTGAGAAACACCCAGCTGATTGATCAGCACAGTTCTGGGTGTGGCTGAAGGGATTTCCTGAAGGTGGAAGCCCAGCTGGGTGTGAGTGGCACCGACCTATACGCTTGTGCCTGAGTAGAATGAAAGGGGAATGAAGAAGGCTCGCTTCTGTTTCTTCGGAGGAGCTCCAGTCTTCACCCTGGACATCATCTCCTGGTTTCCAGGCCCAGCACAAAGCCTTTGGCTTCCTCGCAGGGACTCACATGGGACTATGCAGCGAGCTCCAGGCCTCGGACCATGGGCTGGATCCTCTGGCTCTCCAGGGCGCAGGCAGCCCTTCCGCACTCTCCCCACACCTGACTCCACAGGCGGCCACTGTAAGCCCACCTTGCAAAGCCGTACATTTATTAATAATCTTACATTAAATCTGTTTCCCTAGT